CCAGCCTGGATCTGTGAAGACGCAGGTATTTGCAGGAGAGGTGCAGGTTGAACGGATCTGCGTGGCAGGTACAGGTGCATGCTCTGCGCGGCCCCGTGGGTCTTTCTTGTGTTTGAAGCACTGGACCATAGGAAGGAAATCTGGGGAGAAGAGAAAATGTGCAGCACAAAGATGACTTTTCTTTTCTCTCTTGTCAGTTGTGGGTCTTGAACTCGGGGCCTGGGCGCTGTCCCTCAGCTCTTCAGCTCCAGGCGGGCGCTCTACCCCTTGAGCCACAGCGCCACTTCTGGTTTTCTGGTGGTTCCTGGGAGATCAGAGTCTCACGGCCTTTCCTGCCCAGGCTGGCTTTGAACCTCGATCCTCAGATCTCAGCCTCCTGAGCAGCCGTGATGACAGGCGGGAGCCATGGGCGCCCAGCTGGCTTTTCATGTTTGATACTGAGGTTTGAACTCAGGGCCCCGTGCGTGCTAGGCAGATGCTCTATTGCTCACGCTATGGCTTCTCACCCTTTCTTGTTTTAGGTTATTTTTCTTTTTTGGGGAGTGGGAGGGGGGAGGCTAGGGTCCTAGTTTTTGTTATTGATAATCATCTATCTAATACCTACCTATCATTTATCAATCAGCGATCCAATGTAGCCATCCTTGTATCGTATCTACCTCTGGTCTATTCTAATCATCATCCATGCATTGTAGCTTTCTGTTGTATCTACCTGTCACCTAATAACCATCTATCTATTGAATCTACTATCATCTATTAATCCTCTATTGAATCTATATATTTACTCTATTGAGTCTACCATCTATTAATCATCTATTGAATCTATATCTTTACTTATCTGTCTATCCATTCTACCGTCTATTGATCTATCCATCTATCTGTCATTATCTTACCTATATCATTCATCTGTCTATCAGCCCTACTTATGTATTGTCTGTCTGTTGACATATTCATTACCTGGGGATGTCTTGAACCATGATCCTCAGCTCTCCACCTCCCGAGTAGCCGGGATGCCAGGCGTGAGCTCCTTCTCTCGCCCGACAAGACCACTTTTAGAAAGCACAAAGGACACCGTGTTCTGCTCCTATTCTCTCTCCCCCTCCCCAGCGCAGGACCCCGCACCGGCGGAGCAGACTACTGTGCTTTTTGGCTTCTAATGCTGTTTTCTCACCTTATGGGTATCTCTGTTCCTTCCTAGCCCTTAATCCTCTTGGGCGAGCCGCTCCAGGAAGCATCTGATCAGTTTCCTGGCCGAGGCTCTTGAGAGATCACCCGGCGGGGGGTGTGGCCGGGCCGGGATGTGCGTGTGTGGTGGAGGTCTGCTTTGTGAGTGGAGAATTCAGCTTCCACAGCTACTTCATTCTATTGTTATGTCCCGAATCCAGCGTGACTTCCTCCTGGCGGTCAGTCCGTCGTCCGTGTTTGAAGTTGTTTCCGAGCCCAGCACAGGGGGGACATTCTTTCTGCTTGGCCCAGCGAGTGTGACAAGGGCTCACCGCTCACCTACGTCAGGGAAAGGCTGGCCGAGCTCCACCGCTCTCGGCCGAGGGTGGTAGCGCATGCCTGTAATCCCGCCACACAGGACAACGGGAGGGCCAGGAGTTCAAGGCAGTGGATTCTTGTCTCACAGGGAAAGATAGAGAGAGGGGGGCTGAATGTGGTCTTCTCTTTGGGTCCGGGCAATGCACACCTGTAGACCCTGCGTGTACATTTACACCGTGGCTCTTACCCAGGTGGCGTCTTCCCAGCTCAATCAGGCTGTTTTTACGTCCCTCGGATCTCGTTAGAGAGAGGAAGGAAAGGAGAAAGGTCAGGCAGGAAGGAAGTAGGGAAGGAGAGGCAGACAGAAAGGATGAGGTCAGGAGGCCCATCAGCGAGTATTTATAGAGCGGCCGCATGCCGCTCCTTCAGCTCCTCGGTGAGGTAGCTACTATTATTAATTTTTCCCAGCTTATAGCGCCACGTAAGAAGTCACGGACAGCCGGCCTTTTCGGCCTGGCTTGTTCCGTCTCGGGAACTATGTTCCTGAGCTCGGCGGATGATGTCTGCGGCAGAGACTTTTGAGCACATACCAGAGTATAAAGAAGAGGAGAAAACAAGCCAGGTGCCGGCGGCGCACGCCTGTCATCCCTGTCATCCCGGAGGCTGAGATCTGAGGATGGCAGTTCAAGGCCGGCCCGGGCAGGGAAGTCTGTGAGACTCTGATCTCCCATGAACCACCAGAAAACCAGACGTGGTGCTGTGGCTCAAGTGGTAGAGCGCCCGCCTTGAGCTGAAGAGCTGAGGGACAGCGCCCAGGCCCAGAGGGCAAGCCCCAGAACTGACAAAAAAGTAGGAGAAAGCAGAGAGAGAGAGAGAGAGGAGAGAGAGAGAGAGAGAGACAGACAGAGACAGAGAGAGAAACAAGATTACTAGAATGCAGGAAGAGAAGAATCGGAAGGAAGAGCCCCACTAATTTTTCCTTCTGTTAGTGTTAACCCTAATGTAGTATAGTATGGTTTTTGCTTAATTCCTGAACACCGCTAGGAAGGACTTTTCTTGTCTATTTTTGGTAATGTGTTCCGGGTCTTGCTGTGTGATAAAGATATACATAGTTAGCCAGGAGCTGGTGCTTACACCTGTAATCCCAGCTACTCAGGAAACTGAGATCTGAAGATCAGGGCCCTGAGCCTGTTTCACAGGGAAGCCTGTGAAACTTTTATCTCTAATGAACCACCAAAAAGCCGGAAGTGGGGCTGTGGCTTGAGTGGTAGAGCGCCAGCCTTGAGCGAAAAACTCAGGGACACACACACAGACACAGACACAGACACAGACACACACAGAGACACAGACACACAGAGACACAGACACACAGAGACACAGACACACAGAGACACAGACACACAGAGACACAGACACACACAGACACACACACACACAGACACACACCCCTCAGGTAACCTCATACACCCAGATCCATTTCGACTCTGTGACTCTCAACAGACACGTCCAACACAGTGTTGGGGTGGGGGGCCTTGAAACAGCCAAATGAACAACAAGCAGGGAAACAGCAAACCAAAATTAAGAAGTGCAAATGGCATTAGCGAGACCAGGCCTGGAACATTCGCTGAATGATGGGATGATTGGGGGCTGAAGCCAAGCAGGAATCCGCCATGGCCGGCTGCTGGGAGACTCAAGGTTGTTTTGGCTGAACGGTCATGAGAGATGGTGAGACTGGCATCCCGGTTTGAACTCAGGGCCTGGGCGCTGTCCCTGAACTTTTTCTCTCAAGGCCGGCGCTCTACCACTTGAGCCACAGCGCCACTTCAGGTTTTCTGGTGGTTCATGGGGGATCAGAGTCTCATGGACGTTCCTGCCCGGGCTGGCTTTGAACCACGATCCTCCGATCTCAGCCTCCTGAGTCAGTGGGATGCCAGGCGGGAGCCACTGACGCCCGGCTTCTTGATGATTTTTTACGCTTCACTTTAATCTAAATGGGGGAAAGCGATGTCACAGAAAGCAATTACCTCCAACTAGAGACGGCAATGCAGTTCTGGCACCTATGGGCTCTGTGTGGCCTTCTATGTGGCTCTACCCCCCCCCCCACAGGAACGGGCCTGTGAGTTCATCTTTCTTTAAGGAAACATCTTTCCTCCTTGGGAGAAATCTCCAGGATGCGCACAAAAGACAGGAATGATGGCGTGGACAATGTGGGCAGGCCACCGCCCGGACAAGCGAGGTTCCCTCTGCCCCAGCTTTCTTCTCATGCATTTCCTCAATCTGGATCGCAAGAAGCTGGAGCCACGCGGCCTATGGTGAGCTGATGGTCTTGCCCTGCCTGGGGTGACACACACACACACACACACACATACACACACACACACACACAACCTTACTTGCAGTAGCATTACTGGGAGGTGGTGGGGCCTTTAAGAGGCGGGCCTCACAGAAGGAAGGGAGGTCTTTGGGGGCGTGCCTTTGGAGAGGCTCCTGGGACTTCCGCTCCTTCCCTTCTCTCTGCTTCCTGGCTGCCATGAGATGAGCAGGCTCTGCGGTCCCAGCACTCCCAAGAGCTGAGCAAGCTCCGCCCTCACCACCTCTGAAACTGGAGGCCCAGATAAACCTTTCTTCCTTGCCAGTAGGCTGATTATCTCAGAGGCTTCATCAGATGATCAACTTCAGGAACTGCCCCCGTCTACGGAATCCTCTAAGATACTCAGGGAAAGACAAAACCAACCTTACTCTGCTTGGTCCAAATACAAGAGTCCAGACTATCTTCATCATTGCATGTGATAGGTATTTAAAATCTTATTTGTCAGGGCTGGGAAGGTGGCTTAGTGGCAGAGCGCTTGCCTAGCCTGCATGAAGCCCTGGGTTCGATTCCTCAGTACCACATAAAGAGAAAAAGCCGGAAGTGGCGCTGTGGCTCAAGTGGTAGAGCGCTAGCTTTGAGCCAAAGCAGCTCAGGGACAGTGCTCAGGAACCTGGGTTCAAGCCCTAGGACTGGCAAAAATATAAAAATAAATATAAAATCATATTTGTTGTCAACTTAATGCCTGGTAAGATTTTCATCAGTGCTCTATCAACACTGTATGTGTGATTTCGTTTTTCTTGTCTGGTTGGTTGGATATAGGTACTACACCACTTCGCCTTGCTCCTGCAGGTCAAATAATTTGTTTGAACAGCCTTTGGGTGAAAGTTGCAGTCTATGAGTTAAATCAATAAAACAGCCTCAGGCTCACAAAATAGTTAGCATTGATCAGGCTTCCTTGAATGACGTTTTGCTCCTGTACCCGGATACCTGGGTTCACTGCCCCCCCACCCCCAACCTGCTGATTATGGGAAGGAGGACAAAGAATTAACATGAGCACTAAAATACCACCTGGCGCCAGTGCAGACCCAGTTTGTAGCAGGCTGGCCACTGAGGACTTGACTTTCTTGGCCTGTGAATTGTTATTAATAGAGCAGGGTGACACCAGAGGAAAGATGAGACAGAGGACAAGAATGCAGAGCCTTTTTTTTTTTTTGGACTCTTAACTTCCACAACCTTCGAAAGAGTAGATTGGAAAAAAAAATGAGCAAACAAAAATCAGGCAGTAGGATTGAAAAGACCAGACGTGCCCAGCTTCTAGATTTGTATTGCGACAAGAATTTTTCTCACCAGAAGAAATCTCTAGTTGCGAGCGATCTCTTGGTGCTTTTTAAGTTGGAGCTCGCATTAAAAATCAGGAGGGAGATTGGACACGTATGTTCACGAAGGCTGAAACCTGATATCCAATTCCTTGGGAAATGTCAAAGGTTTTCACGAAAAATGTTGCGTAAAGTCTCCTGTAGGAAGTATCGGCCTGCGATGCATGGAAAGTTTTAACTTGTTAACATTTGGCAATAAAAGTACCTGGAGAGCTACTCCTTCTTGTAGAAGCTTTCAGAGTAAGTGTATCGGGTCGGGGCTGATGACCCAGATGGCTCAGAGGGTTAAGATTTTAGCACATGTGCGTCATGATTTGATTTGTGGGTTGGGTGGCAGGCCCTCCGGGCATCTTTCTGCTTGACAGGGCTGCGGCATAACTGGAGTTCCTGGAGAGTTGGGCAATCTCGCTGCCAGAGGGACAGTAGCAGGGCTCAGTGCTTGGATGTCAGTGTGAGGGTTGATGAGACTCGGAAGATCTGTGGGAGCATGCTACTCAGCTGGTAGAACATTTCTTCAGAAATGCTCTGTATGGGAGAAAAAGGCCAAAAAAAAAAAGAAAAAGTTTGCACTTGTTCAATCATTGCTGATTTAAAAAAAAAAATTGTTAGAGCCAGGCATAGATTGCTCATGCCTGTCATCCTAGCTACTCAGGAGGCTCAGATCTGAGGATCACGGTTCAAAGCCAGCCCTGGCAAGAAAGTCTGTGAAACTCAGATCTCTAATAAACCACCAGAAACTGGAAGTGGTGCTGTAGCTCACGTGGTAGAGAGCCAGCCTTGAGTGATAAAGCTCAGGGACTGCGGCCAGGCCTTGAGTTCAAGCCCCATGACCGAGGCTGCTTTTCTGGCTCTGCTCTCTGAGAATTTATACTCGATTTGTCATAGGATGAATGATTGTCGGAAAGCAACATGGGTACCCCCCAGTGATCATGAACATTCCTTTTGCTAAGCTCTGTGGAGAGAACAGAATCCTCTTCTAAGTCTTGGTGCATACTATTTGAGCCTGCGTGGCGCTTGAACTCGGGGCTCTGGGCACTGTTCCTTAGCTTTTTCATTCAAGGCTAGCGCTCTACCACTTGAGTCACAGTGTCACTTCTTTTTTTGGGGGGTGGCTAATCAGAGACAAGGGTCTCTTGGACATGCTTGCCTGACTGGGCTTGGAAGTGGGATCCTGGGATCTCAGCCTCCTGGGTAGCTGGGATGACAGGCGGGAGCCACTGGTGCCGGGCACGCATGCGTCCTCATTTCTAATAGGATGGTGGGACCCAGGAGGAGGAGGCGGAGGCTCAGGCACACGAGGCCCCACAGCGGCGGATGTGGATCTCTTTCCGCCACCCAGATGCTTCTCCCCTTAGGAAACAGGCCATGTAACCAAGATACCTGCGGCACCAGAAACTGCACTGTCCTGGAAATTCCCCCGTCCCAGGACGCCATCTCCATCATGAAACCTGAGACAGAAGAACACAGGGGGTCTTGTCACCAGGTGTGGCCTTTGACCCCGTGGGCCACTCGCTGAGGAGCGCTGATGGCACTACACAGTTCCAACTTCTCCCACGCCGCCCGCCTAGAGATCAAATCAACGTCGGCTCACACTGACACCCCCCCCCACCCCCATTCAGGGTGCCTACAACAGGCTAGGAAAAGCTAACGCACTAGCTTGACTTTTTTTGTTCTTAAGGAAAGGCAAGAGAGGCTGGGTGCCGGTGGCTCCCGCCTGTCATCCCAGCTCCTCAGGAGGCTGAGATCTGAGGATCGTGGTTCAAAGCCAGCCCGGGCAGGAAAATCCATGAGACTCTGATCTCCCATGAACCACCAGAAAACCAGAAGTGGCGCTGTGGCTCAAAGCGGAAGCTCAGGGACAGCAGCTAGGCCTTGAGTTCAGGCCCCAGGCCTGGCACACACACACAAACCAATTTTAGAGTCTGTTATGAGATGAAGCGATGTCCTCTTCCATCTTCAGGGCTGTTCTGGCTTTGCCTTGGTGGGAGGAGGCGACCGTCCTTAAGGTCACACTCACCTTTGACACACTTAAACACCAGCTCTGCTCTCCGCAGGCACCACGGTATGGTCATTTCCTGTGGACACAAAGGCCAAGCAGCATCTTTACGACAGAACTTCATGGGTTGGGAAGGTGGCTCAGCGGTAGAGTATTTGCCTCACGTGCATAAAGGCCTGGGTTCAATTCCTCAGTACCACAGACACAGAAAAAGCCAGCAGTGGTGCTGTGGCTCAAATGGTAGAGCGCTAGCCTTGAGCCAAAGAAGCTCGGAGGCAGCGCCCAGACCCTGAGTTTGAATCCATGACTGACAACGACAATAACGAGGACAACAAACTCATATAGACAAAACACCACAGGGTGGTAAAACCACTCTGCAAAGCTCCTCATCCTGATCGGCCAAAGACAATCTCCTACATACTGGGACTTAAGTACATTCCTGCAGAAATGCCCAAAGGTACGTGTGAAACTCTTCACAGCACCCAATGTTTCCAAAATCACAATAACCAAAAACCTAGAACCGACCCAAGCAAGGACCATGGCCACCAAGCAAGGACCATGGCCCCCCAACGGGGGTCTGGTGGTAAACAACAAGGAAAATGAGGCGCGGCCTCACGGATGAACCATTCAGAAGCCAGCGGTGCTGGACACCGTGTGCGCGTCTGAGGTTTCTGGTGTTCGTCTTTGTGGCACTGGGGTTTGAACTTGGGGCCTTGGATGTCCTGTGGGCAGGTGCTGAGCCCCGGCTCCGGCGCGTTGCTGCCTTTGTGGCTCCTGACAGGATGTGGGCTCGGCCTTCATCATCCTCCTCCAACTGCTTTTCCCTGGGCTGACCTCAAAACTGAGATCCTCTGGATGTCCGGCCTCCAGAGTAGGATTACGAGTGTGAGCTACCACACCCAATTTCATCCCTTGCTTTCGGAGATGGAAAGTGTGATTTCCCTAGGGCAGGGGAAGGGACCTAAGTGACTTTAGGGAAAGCTTCCAGAGTTCTGTTCCAAGACCTGGCCTGCTTCCAAGCATGCTCAGCCTGGGACAATCTAGTTCGAAGTAGATGACATAGCATCCCAGAAAAAGTAAGAAAAAACGAACATCTTCAGGGATTACAACTGTAAAACTCAAATCTCTAGGCTCCACCAACTGCCAGACACAAACGCAAGTCAGGAGCTCCTATCGTTGACTTCTTGATTTGTTCCCCATGTTACTGGGGAAACTTAACCTGAAAACAGCTTCTCTGTCAGATCACAGACTCCTGAAGTGGCTCTTCTTCTTCGTGATGTGTATTTATCCCGGTTTCACTCTCTTTCGGAGGTTGGGCGCTGTTCTGCAGTGCTGTTATCTATTAGAGATAGCCGGGACTCATTTTAAGATCTGATTGCTCCCTTAAAACTGCGATCTGGGGCTTCTGGTTGTTGATCAGAGGAGAAACAGCACCAGAAAATACTTGGGGATCCTCGCCTGAACGCACGAGCCCCTTTTCTCTGGGTGCTGCTGGTGTCATCTGGGTTTTGGAAGAAACTTCCTGACCTAGCACGGGAGAACTCACTGGGGAGGATCCTGGCTCGATCCCCTTGAGTGAATTAAATTAGGCCCTTCCGAAACAGACTTAATTTTCTGCAGCTGGCTGTCCCGATTTAAGCCTGGGAGGCTGTGGCACTCTGCGGTCGTATCAGCTGCCCGCCAGGACATCTGAACTTAGTGACTTTTGGAAACACCGGTTTTGAGGTTGTTTGCCACCTACAGGGAACCATTTTTATCAACTGGTTAACGAGGGCTCCAGCTGCAGGGATGTTTGGATAGTCCTTTGTGGCAGGAAGTCCCCCCCAGGGCCCGAACAGCGATGGCATCTCGGCTCCTAGAGAGTCATGCTGGAGCAGGGCAGAGTTCTGTCTGTCCATACGGAAGGCCGGCCAGGCTCCAGGAGTGGGGAGGGGACGAGGGCCTGCCCCCACTCCCCCAAGGAATTGGCGCTGTGGCTCAAGTGGTAGAGCGCCAGGCTTGAGCTGAAGAGCTGAGGGACAGCGCCCAGGCCCAGAGTTCAGGCCCCATGACAGAAAAAGAAAAAAAGAACTCTCTTAACCAAAATGGTCATGAAGGAAGATGGGCCAGGCTGGGTTCAGAGAGAAGAAACGGCTGAAAACCATACTGTCTGAGGAAGCTGATTGTGTGTGTGTGTGTGTGATTGTGTGTGTGTGTGTGTGTGATTGTGTGTGTGTGTGTGTGATTGTGTGTGTGTGTGTGTGATTGTGTGTGTGTGTGTGTGATGGTATTAGACTTGAACCCAGGGTCTGGTCACTGTCCCTTAACTTTTTCACTCGAGGTTGGCACTCTACCCCTTGAGCCACACTTCCACTTCCAGCTTTTATTGCTGGTTAATTGGGGATCAGAGTCTCACAAACTTTTCTGTCTGGGCTGGCTTTGAACCATGATCTTCAGATCTTAGCCTCCTGAGTAAGGATGACAGGCGTGAGCCACTGGCACCCAGTGGAGGGAGAGGAAGAGGAGAAAGGGACACATTTCATCTACAGCTAAAGAAGGTTCTGAATTCTGAACGTACCTCGTGTAGGACAATGCTGCAATCCCTGAGCGTGAGCGCTGAGTGAGTATTTGCCCTCCGACTCACCAGACAAGACACCCAGGGCTTTATCCGCTTAAAGGGGAGTCGGGCCGCCCGGCCTGCGCCCAGGGAGCTCACCTCCGACATGTCGTGCACCAGCAGCAGCGGGAGGCTGATGGTCGTGATGTCGTGGGTGCAGCACACCTTGAGGATGTTCCGGAGCCCCATGATGGCAGGGTCCCGCGCCGTGATGTTTCCCGACTTGACATTGTCGTCCACGCAGAGGTGGAAGGCGACGTGGATCTCCGAGAGGTTTGAATGCCGCGTGATGTAAAACTCTCCTGTGTGTGGCACAATGTGCAGAATGCTAATGCTCGCACGCGTGTGAGTTCATGCTCCTCCCGGGGCTTTAGGAGCCACAACCCCAGCAGCCGGGCGCTGGTGGCTCCCGCCTGTCAGCCCAGCTCCTCAGGAGCCTGAGATCTGAGGATCGGGGTTCAAAGCCAGCCTGGGGAGGAAAGTCTGGGAGACACACAGAGGTGTTTACAATGACACATGCCTCGGCGGAAGTTCTGTGTCCTTCTGGGCAAAGTTTGGTCTGCTCGGATCTTACCACTCTCAGCCCTGGGCCTCACAATTCTGCTCACTCTGATTTTAGGGAAATGGTCTTAGAGTCTGATGCACGGCCCTGGGCATTTCTGCTGCAGAAACTTGACCTACACGGCCGTGATTACATATTTGCATATTCCAGCACACTGGGCTGCACACATACACACACACACACACTCATGCACGCACACGCACACACACACACATGCACGCCACTGCTAGGCCCAGGGCAAGAATCTTCCTTTTTGTTTTTGATTGGGAGAAGGAATTCAATTAACAGAGAAATGAAGAAAAAGGATGGTGGTGGAGACACACAAGACCACGGACAAAGAGAAAATCAAACGCGAGCACTCCAGCTCGCCGCGCTGCGGGCTCAGGGGACGGGCTGGAAGGCCGCGTGGCGGATGGGAGGTGGGGCGCCCGCAGTGGGTACGGTAAGTCGAAGGCTCTGCAGTGTTCCTAATCCCCGGCCTGGCACTGTCCCTGCCACCTCTTGCTCTCATGTCACCCCTGAATAAAATGGAGGCCAGGCCTGGTGCTGGTGCTCGTTAAGACAATAAACATGGCATCGTAGGAAAAGAGAGGGAGGGAAGGGGAGGAGAAGGAAAGGAAGTGGGGGGAAGGGGAGGGGAGACTGCACCTTACAGAGAAAGGGTCAGCAGGTGGAATAGGTTAATTTCCTGATCATCCATGGCTTTGTGTGGGGGTTCTGAAAGCCACTGTCCACCCGCTTTCTTTACAAAGTGACTGAGAATTTGGTGACCTAAGCTGTAAATACTCACACCTTGCTCTCTCTCTCTCTCTCTCTCTCTGTCTCTCTTTCTCTTTCTGTCTCTCCTGGGGGCTTGGGGGTTGGTGGCGCCCTTTGGCTGAACGGAAGTTCAGAGGCCCCGATCAACACTACTGCTCTTTTCTAATTCACACTTCACAAAATGTGTTCCTGATTTGGCCACCGCTATGATACCAAGACATACACTTGTTCTGGAAAAAAAAAAAAAAAGAGAGAGAGAGAGAGTCAGGAAGGAAATAAACACTGTGATAAAGAGTTGGGCTGAAAAAGGAAAACACAGGAATCACCGGGGTCTCCAGAATAGTAGCGATGGACGTATTTTAAGAAAGCCACAACATCGAGGCCATTTAAATTATGGATCTAGGAAAAAGAATCCAATACATCTTGCTCGGGAGGTAATTTGAGATGGAGAGAGAACGGTTTCCTCTCCCACAAAGCAGAGGAAGTCGCGGCCGACGCTAACCAATTGCCCACGAAGGTGGTGGAGCCGAGGCCGGGAGGAAATCGAGGCCACAGATCTGACCACGAGGAAGGACGGTGACATCGCCTAGAATGAAAAGCCATCTGGCTCCCGTGCAGATCTGCGCCAGGCAACGGGAAGAAGAGACCTTACGGGAGCAGCGGAAAAACACCCGGCGGTGGCTGTGTTGGAGACGGTAAAGCTCAGCACTTGCTTCATGAGTTGTCACGCTTCCCAGGGTCGGGGACCGTCCTGGGGTTTCCTGTCAACCTCTGTGGGGTTCATTGGTGCATCAGTGGGAAAGCTGGCCCAGAGACCGAGCTGCAGCCGCCACACAGCACTTCCAAGGATAATAAGGAAATACAGGAGTGGAGGCCAGGTACAGGTACACACGCCTGTCATCTCAGCGATTCAGGAGGCTGCGATCTGAGGATCGTGGTTTGAAGCCAGCCAGGACAGAAAAGTCCATGAGACTTTTTTTTCTAATTAACCAGCAAAAAGCCACAAGTGGAGGTGTGCTCGAGGGGTACAGTGCCCAGGCCCTGGGTTCGAGCCCTGGTACTGGTGCACGCATGCAAACACACACACATGCGCACACACTCATGCATGTGTGTGGAAATAAGAGTGTAAATCAAATGGCCTAGGCTGTTTCTAGCTCCATGCATTTCAGACTGAAAATGTTGTCTTGGTTGATTCCTTTCAAACCTGAGAAATAACATGTAAGAGGATATTGGAAAAAGCAGACGGCGGTAAACCTCGTGCAATTGCTTGAGAAATTCCGTCATTACGCGTATAAATCCCAGAAGGCCGGGGAGCAATGGACCTCAGAGATATACAAGGTTGCTCTGAGGGAAACACTGGCAAGTGTTTTATAAATGCACACCAAAAGGTTTGCGTTTCAAACCTTTTTTTTTTTTTTTGGTTGGTCAGGGGTCTTGAACTCTGGGCCTGGGCGCTGTCCCTCAGCTCTTCAGCTCAAGGCTAGTACTCTACCCCTTGAGCCACAGCGCCACTTCCAGTTTTCTAGGGGTTTATGGGAGATCTCACAGACTTTCCTGCCCAGGCTGGCTTTGAACCGAGATCCTCAGATCTCAGCCTCCTGAGTAGCTGGGATGACAGGCATGAGCCACCAGTGCCAAATGTGTGAGACCAAAGATAATCATAATTTAAGATGAAAACAATACTCACCAGGTTGAATATTTAGGTAGTTTCTCTCTGCATTCTTACATTTCTCTTCACCTCCTCCATTTTGGCTTCCAGAATCTGTTCAAAGACAGTGCCCCAAGAAAAAAGATGACAACACATTAGTGTGTGAGAATTATGGGCTTGAGCTCTGGGCCTGGGCACTGTCTCTTGCTCAAGGCTAGCGCTCTACCATTTGAGCCATAGCTCCACTTCTGGTTTTCTGGTGGTTCATCGGAGGTAAGAGTCTCATGGCCTTTCCTGCCTAGGCTGGCTTTGAACTGCGATCCTCAGATCTCAGCCTCCTGAGTAGCTGGGATGACAGGTTCAAGCCATAGCATCGGGCTACTCATGTCCCACTATGAGCTCTATATGATCATCTTCATTCTTTCAAAGCCCTGTAGCTAGAACCCTAATCACTTTGGCAACACCAGGCTTTTTTTTCTTTCCATTTTTTTGGGTGGGGGGTCTGCTGAGAACTGGGGGCTTTGCCAAGACTAAGCATCTGCTCTACTACTCGCGTCTACCCCAGCCTGATCTTCCGTGTTCTCTAGGAGAAAACAGAGGTTTAGGCGGGTGGAGGTCTTGAACTCTCACCCCCTGCACCACTCAAGTTTTTCACCTGGCGGTTCAGGGCACGAAGTTAACTAGGCCGAACATAATGGCATTCGTGTGCAGTGCTGCCATCTTTATTTTATTTTTATTTTTTGGGCTCCGGTGGTAGGGCCTGAACTCTGGGCCTGGGCGCTGTCCCTCAGCTCTTCAGCTCAAGGCTAGCCTTCTACCACTTGAGCCACAGCACCACTTCCGGCTTTTTTTCTTTTTGCTTATGTGGTGCTGAGGAATAGAACCCAGGGCCTCAGGAATGCAAGGCAAGCGCTCTACCACTGAGCCACCTGCCCAGCCCTGCCATCTTCATTTTTAGAATCCATGTCAGTGTTGTGGCTGGACCTTGCTCGGGGCTGTAAATAAATGACCGGTGCAACCAGGGACCACTTTGGATTCAGAACCTTCCTGAAGTTACCTTTCTGTGTTTAAATCTGACATGATTCATTTCACACAGACAGGCTATTTCAAACAAATCTGCCTTTTCAGACAGTTGTTGAAGGAGGCGATCTCTTAGAATAAAGGCAGTAACATGAGAAACGTGACTTGCGCATGCGTTTATGAAGGCTATGAAGTTTCAAACGTCAATTGGTTGCAAAAATGCAACAGGACCTACAGACACGTTTTCCTAGAAGAGGCCAGGCCTGTGCCTTGGGAGCCAGCTTCTCAGCGAGATGGCCTCTCGGGGACATTTTTCACCTGGCCTAGAGCCCGGGGCCTCGGAATGAATCGAGATTCCTCTAGAGTAGCTAGAATTACACACGTGGGCCCCAAGTCCGGCAGATCCAATCTCTGCCAGACATACTTCAGGAAATTAGAAAGGAAAATTCTCGTAAACTCCCTGAAGAAGTAGGGAAGGCTGCTGTAGTAGGCAAAAAAACAGAACAGGGAGCCTTATGATTTCTACTGGGGCTGGAGGCGTAGCAGACGCTCCTGTTTCAATCCCTAATGCCAAAAATACATGAAGTGTTATGTCTAGTGTTACCATACATATATACTTATGTATATTTGTGTATACATATTATAAATATACCTATTACAAATATCTATGTATATTATGTGTACCTATTATAAATATGTCTATTATAAATATCTATTATAAATATATATATCTATTATATGTAAATACATATATCTATTATAAATAAATAAAGTGGGTCCCTGGTTGCTACGGTCATTTATTTACAGTCCCGAGCAAGATCTATTTATACATATATATATATATATATATATATATATA